AGGAAGACCTCTCAAACTTGGGTGACTTTGAGTGTAATCCAGGTACCTTACCTGCACCAGTCGGCAATGGTGCCCATAGCACTACTATAGGTGCAATGGGAAGCCTGCCTGAACTTCGGGACACGAGTATACCGACACCCTCGTGGAACAGGCAGGTCAGGTAAGGACCAGATGCCACCATATGTGAGTACAGTTATAAGTTTTGAAGAAAACCACAAACATTTGTATTGTAAAGCGAGAAAAAAGTTTCAAATAGTTTTCCTCGTCATATTTGTACTCAATGAATCAACACGCCTGAGAAAAACCGCTGCGTCATGATGTTCCAACTCAGTACTGACCAGTTCTTGATCACATAATTATTTACGGGATCCACTATTCGCTCAAACCTAATGAAATAAAAATTTGCTACTGGTAACAACTGTTTATTGCCATATTCATTCCATTGTTATCGGTGATACTCCCTCGATAGCACGTCATCCGACAAATAAAAGCTCGAGATTCACACTGGTAAGTCTCATTTTTAGCGATGCGGTCGAGAATTCGGAGTGTGGAAGGAGTGCCTCCTGCTCCAGCTTCCACAGCTGAGGTGGGGAAAAGAGCTTCACCAGTTTGGTTAAACGTTATGATTGTGTCGCATGGCTTTGATTGTCATTCAGAAGAAAGAAGAGAGCAAAGTATGGATAAGCAAGCAGAAACATGAAGTCGAAACTATAATGAAAGGTTCGTAAGTTATCCAGAAAACCACGAAGACCACTGTGCTGAAGACGTCGCGAGCGCACTATCGCTCAGGGTTTTTAGCAGAAACTTGATTAATTGTGAGAGGAGGGTGCCTTGATTAGACTCTGTCTCTCTGCAAAGGAAAAGGTTTGAACCTTGGTCATCGCGTGGTCGGAAACGACTGCAATCTCCTCGGCCGATTCCGACCACGCCCACTTCAGCTCCCTCTCTAGCAGCTTTCCAATGCCACTGAAGCAGTCAGATGCTTAGGTCCATTTCTGGTACACTTCTAGTGTGAACTTCAACTCATTGTGTCGGTTTTTGTGTTGGTTAGAGTTGATATGTCAATGTGCTGTTGTTCTATCTGTCCGCCAGAGAAATGCCCAGGAGATGTGATAAGGAATGAGATAGGCAAAACCAACCACCACTGAACAATGAATGATCCAATCAAGCCGCGTTTATAGTTCGCGACTCGGGAGATTAGGATAGCAGGCGATAGGATATTATGATAGTAGTAGAGTAGGAGATTGCGCTGACAAGGCTGGATACGTATCGATTGAAATCGCTGGAGAGTGGCCGATGTCAGACTTGCGATTGGAGCGATTTGGCACCAATTGCAGGAGCGACGGATCGCTTGAGCGATGCGAGCGACGGGAGATTTACACCGCCGACCACCGATAATTCGGCGCCATCAGTTCGTAAATCTCCCGTCGCTCGCATCGCTCAAGCGATCCGTCGCTCCTGCAATTGGTGCAAAATCGCTCCAATCGCAAAGTCTGACATCGGCCATAGTAATTAGGCGTCTTCCAAGCGAATCGATCAATACATATCTACTCTTGTCAGCGCAATCTTCCACTCTACTACTATCGTATTTCACTCATATTCTGAACGAGAAGTCATTGCAGAATTACCAAATATGTATATGAGATCCGCTGAGCCCACGTCGAAACATGGTAGCAAGGTTCGTAGATTGCAGATGCCTGTAGTGAATAATGACTTGTAGAGTTTCATCGTAAATCCAGCCAAACAACCCACCCGCAATGCATTTCAGATTTTACCTCTGAAAACAGCAACCAGCGAACTAAGCTTGAGAACGTCTAATGGTGGGTAAAGACAATGACCGGGATAGGCTGCAGCGATACCTGCCAACTTGTCGCCGGCTGCCTAGGGGCCGTCGCATCCTTCTTCCAGGGGGATGCGTCCACCGCCACTGATCCTATTCTATGGCTGGGGGACAGGCTTACGTCATAGGACCAGACATATGTACTTTGTGTGTCTGGACTCCAGACAGCGCGACTTCTCAAAGAAAGTGCCTTGCAACCATCGGAGGGTACTGCAAGCTTCAAGCGCCTAGTCCGTTGCGCAACCCTGTCCCCCCCACCTTGAGATGGAGTCAGCGGCGGGGTACGCGTCGCTCCGGGGAAGGAGAGGATACGGCCTCAGAACATGTGCAGTGTTTCGCGAATGACAGCCGCATCCGCAAGCCAGACTAAGTATGCTATGTGGCCCAGTGGTCACACAGATAACCCATCGTCACCTCAAATGATTCAGCTTTTAATGACGATAATCGATACATCCTGGTGACATATGACTCATGACGAAACGGTTAGCGGCTTTTTCAGTTTCTGATCAGAATAAAAGCGATGCACTTATACTGGCGAAACGGCTAGTGATGCTACACCTCTAAATTGACATATTTTTGGGACCCATAGACCCCATTCCGACCTCTATATGTCATACAGACCTTCAGAGAGTGCAGTATTTCCCGTTTCGGTAGCGGCCTAGCTCATTGATCTCACAAGCCGTCGGATGTTCATTTCGCAAACCCCGGAATGAAACTGGTGTAATAGATAGCTACCGAAAGTGATGGATGAGTGAAATCCTTCTATTTTATAAAGCGCTAACTTTGTGTGTCGGTTTGTGTATCTGTATGTGTGTGTGTGTGTGTGTATGTGTGTCCGTCCGCAAAATGAAGTGAGTGAGAAGGAAGCTCATGGGATAAACAAACCGCTAACAAATCGGGTAGCTTACAGGATTTGAGATATCAATGTTTTGTAGCAGGATAGTTGTGATAACACTCTTAGGGCTATATAAACACCTGCTTAGCACACTTCCGTTCATTCCACATGGTGCTGCAGTGGCAGCTGGAGGGCAGTGGAGAGAGGAAGGGAGGATGAGGAAGGGAAGCGAAAAATCTACCGTCATATCATGATTGTGTCCCTTCTACTGTATGAAACACCATTGTGTTGCATACGCGTCACTTCCAGAGGTGTTGGTGTCACAGGAGGAAGGGACCATAGCGGAGGATAGAAAGCTTGCGCAGGAAAGGAAGGTCCCGGCGGTTGACGGGGGACTAATCTGGTAACTAAATATAAAGAAAGCAAGAGAACCATCGGAAACGCTAAAATTAAGGCTCTGACTTCGAGTAAGATCGGATGTAAAACGACGGCGAGACAAAAGATCAAAGAAGACAGAACACGCGACAGAGCACGCCGTTCGAGAGCAAGCTATCCTTAGATCAAGGCGGGTGGGTGGGAAGGTTGCAGATAAAGGTCCATGGTTGGGTGCTAGCTAACTTGACGATTAGCGCCTAACCGCTTCATTTTGTGCGACCCGGGTCGTGGTAACGCTCTCTGCCAGGGAAGTTCTTAGCATTCCTCTCTTGGGGCTAATTCGCAGGCTGCCTTCAAGAAGTCGATATGTATACATACTTGGAAAAAGAGGGACGATAGGGAGCGAAGAGGCTCAGGAGTTGTTCGCGAATCCTCCTCTTTATTCTGCAGCCCTTTCGCCAAGTATGACTGCGACCTTAGTTTTCACGCTTAATGAAAACCTGTCATCTTCAGAATACAACAGTTTTGAGAAAAGAATTTGTTAAGAACAAAAAATATAAACCTGTCGATTATACATTTGAAGCATATAAGAAACATGAGGCCAAAAACCGGTATGTGACCATCGTTCAGTAAAACAAGCGATACAACATCAATAATATTAGTTTGTTTACAGTGACTCAGTAAATATAAATATTGCTGGACAAAATGCCGCAATTTACAGATATGATGATGTCATTTGCATTGACGCAACTCGAGTAATCCTCAAAGGAAGACCTCCTGATGACGACTATATCCATGCTAATTGGATGATAATGCCAGATAGCCAGAAATACATATGCACCCAGGTGTGCGCAATTCAAATTCTAGGATCATTGAAAGAAAAGGGAGGGAGAGCGAAAGCTTCTCTAGTTACTGGCTTCCCTGCCCGAACTCCGACTGGTGATTCGACAACTTCACCCGCAATGATTAAAGGCAAAAGTCGGGCTCAATAAGGGGGTATTATGGCGATTGAAACTGAGTATAGAGATGCGAAGTGGAACGACAGTGGAGAAAAAACTGAGAAAAACCGTCGACAAGGCCGTTAACAAAACCCTCTTCCCACTAGCAGTGAAGGAGGCTGGCTTGGGAAAGAGGCACGTACAAACAAGTTTTCTGGAGATATCAGTCGTTCTATCGGTTGATACGGCAATCAACCTAGCTGATTTCACACGTTATGCCAGCCACGCACCACTTCCGGAGGTGGGCGGTCCCGGATTGACGAGGCGGTCCCGGATTGAAACCGACGGCCCCGGGGCCTTAACGACGTTTTTCAAGGTGGGACGTTGCTGCAATGTGTGCAGCTACTCACATACAACCTCCGGGCACGGGAATTACTCCTCTAGCGCGAGGCTGAGCCCGACCTTGCCTTTAAGTTGGTTCCAAATCGGTCACAGAGATTATGCGTGAGATTAAATTACTTCAAGGATGAGGGCCTCGAATGAGGAGAAATCTAATGGAAGTGTTAGCGGTGCCGTGAAAGGTAAAATAAAAAGGATAAAGCATTTGCCGTTGATCAATCCCTTTTGGGATGCGGCACGCATTCTACTTCCATTTGTACATTCGTAGTGGCGTTTGAATGCGATGTGGCCTATACAATGACTTGCGGGGGCCAGCCGATGTACAAGTCAGTGTTTTTATCCTCCCAGACAAGTCTGGTACCAATTAACCGACCCCGGAGGGATGGAAGGCTTGGTTGGCCCGGGCGACTCACGACCCAGGATTTGATCCCCGGACCGCTCGCGTGGTGAGCGCGCCACTTGTCACTACACCACTTCCGCCCTACTGAAAGACATCTCAATCAGTTCATACACTTGAGGCTGTCAAAGCAGAGCCTGAAATATGCAAATTCACATTCATCTCTTTTAGGGCCCAATCCAGGAGACAATTATTGACTTTTGGCACATGATATTCACCGAGAAAGGGACCGTAATCGTTATGTTATGTGCTTTTAAAGAAGGTGCGGATGTTCAAATGTGAAAAAAATATTTCTGATGTCTTGCTGTTGGGAAGGGGATGGCAAACGGATGCTGAAATCCCATATCAACAATTTGAGCGGCTTGTTCTCAAGCAATTTTGAAATGGGTTTTCCAGATCCGAATAAAAACTACTAAGTCAGGAAGAACTCTCCAGAAAAGGAGTAGCTAAGGGCGGGTAGCGGTTGTACTTGCAAATCCCTTTCTTCCATAATTTCGGTGTGGATACTAACAATTTATTCTACCAGACCACCGAAAGACCATACCGCTGTTAATAGGGATAAAGCTCTATAATTCACCTTGGTGCGGGACAATCCCACGATAAGGTCGGAGGTTGAGGAAAGGGATATATCTAGTCGAAAAGCACCCAGGATCCGTCAGGGTGCAGTACGATGCGCGTTTTGCAGCGAGAAATATACCACAGTGGTTTAGCAGGGCCATGCAGCGCTGCTCGCGTCGCTGTCCGCCTTCCACCTTGCCTTCTGACTCCGACCATTTCGCAGATAGAGAGAGCGTTAGCGTTGAAGAGGGCAGCACCGAAGAGAGTCCCACCATTGCGGAAATCAAGGGCAAGAAGGGGACCCATTTCATTGGTTCTGGACCGTCTCTCGTTGGCCGATGTTCTTCTTCATCCCTGCACCATTGACTTTACCCTGATTTCTGATGAGCTGCCTTTTCATCGTACACTCCGCCATTAACCCGCTCATCGACAGACCCAGTCATTTTAGGTCCATTTCACCGTCCGTCTATGCCACATCCCAACAGCAAGGACATTTCGAGATTATGAATCTCTAGCAAATTCAATTCAGGGAAGAACGAGAAGTGCGCTTTGTATCACCCAAAAAGCAAAAACGAATGCGGAAAATTTGGGCCGTACAGAGTTTATCTGAAAGAAGTCAAGCCGAATCCTTTCAATTCGATCAAGCACTTGGTGTTGAGCGTGAAAAAAGACAGAAAGTAAGTGTTCTGATCCTAGAGAACTTTTCTTGAAGCGGACTGTTTTCAGGTTTACATTAGATGTTCATCACCTTTCGTGCTCGGAATGGCCTGATCACACGGCTCCATTTGAAGCTGGTCCCATTGTGAATATGATGAAAATGGCTCGGGTGCTAGCTAAAGGAAATCCAATTATTGTCCATTGTTCAGCAGGAATTGGACGCTCAGCAACATTCATAGGTCTGTAAATAGTAAGGACAAGTAGCTGAACGCTGATCGCTTGTCTTGGATGAGCCACGCGTTCGAGTTCCATGCAGAATGGCACATTCATTGGGAGGTACAAATTGAGTTCCAGTGGAGATATAAGCCTTTGCATCAAATTTTGCATCTCCAAACCTAGCCATTTACCACGGCTTCCCTGAACCAAAATCGACTGCGTGGCTTATCCTAACTTCTGACTTTGCAATTTAATGCCAGGTCTATCAGTGATTCTAAGAGATAACGTTTCAGGCATTGACTATGCAATGCAAAAAATTCGGGATGATCCCAACATAACGATGGTGGATGTTCTGAAGGAACTCCGCAACCAACGTTTTCAGAGCATACAAGGCATCATCCAGTACATATTTCTGCAT